TGACTCGCTTTAATGCTGCACATCCCTGCATTTTATATTAAAAATTCACACACAAATGAAAATGGAAAAACTGCCAATACCTGATTTCTGTCCCCTATTTTTCCAGTCGCAATCATATACTTAAGTATCTTTTGACCCCATGGGGAAAAAAAAAATCTAACTTTCAGAACTACCAATAACAGGAAGAAGAGATTTTTTTTTTTTTTTGTTAATGAAATGATTTCCCATCATAGCAGACTCTTAAGCACATTCTCCACGTATCCGGCGTGCTAGCTGGATGTCTTTTGGCATAATTGTTACACGTTTGGCATGGATAGCACACAGGTTGGTGTCTTCAAAAAGGCCAACCAGATAGGCCTCACTTGCCTCCTGCAAAGCACCAACAGCTGCGCTCTGGAAGCAGCAGATCTGTCTTAAAGTTCTGAGCAATTTCTCGCACCAGACACTGGAAAGGAAGTTTGCAAATCAGAAGTTCAGTGGACTTCTGATAACGTCTTATTTCACGGAGTGCTACAGTACCAGGCTGGTAGCGATGAGGTTTCTTCACCCCTCCAGTAGAGGGCGCACTCTTGCGAGCGGCTTTTGTAGCCAGTTGCTTCCTGGGTGCTTTACCACCGGTGGATTTGCGGGCAATCTGCTTTGTACCAGCCATGGTATAAAGACCTCCTTACTTATCTCCCTTCTTCAGCTGGAGCTCGGTGAGCTAGAGGCGGTGCTGGCGTTAGACAGCTACCGCAGTGCAGTGGCTGCAAACACCTCTTCATACATTTTAGGCAGAAGCTATCAATCTAGCTGATATTTTAAAAAATTCCCTTATAATACAAAAAGCAAGTACCAAAATATACAAAAAGAAAATTTTGAATGAAAAATTAAAATGAAAAAATGTTTCCTTACAGTTTGGGCCAAAAATGTAAATTCACATTGTACTCGGGAACACATTGTACATGGCAAAATATGACATTCTGCTGCTGTTGGGTGGAGTATCTGTTAGGTCCAGTTGGTTTATTTATTTATTTATTTATTTTCTCATTTGGTTTAGAGTGTTATTCATTTCTTTTGTTTCCTTATTGGCCTTCTATCTAGTTGCTCTGTTATT